GACTAGTTGCAGAGAAGTCTTATAACCAAGGATTTACAGAAGAAGATACAGCAAGACTGGTAGGGAAGGGCAGAGATGCCAAAAGGGGCTGGCCCCACAGTATGGGAAGTGGCTGGGATTCTGGAGGAATATTTTAGCTGCAGGGGTTTCTCCTAGAAACGTGGGTTATCAGCCTCAAGTTGGGCTCCCCAGCCCAGAGCACCAAAGCCAGGAAGAGGTTCCCACATAACATCCGGCTGTGAAAATCAGCAGGGATTCTGCCTCCTAGGGAGAGACAGAAGTCTGCTAGAGTCACAAGTACCGTCTTAAAGGGCCAATGGATAAAACCTTGTTCAAAGCCACTCAGCCTGGGCTCCAGTGGAGGGAGGCTGGAGCAGATTAGAGTCATGTGAGAAGAGACTGGAGTTTGTGGCTCTGGGGAGAGAGCTGAGGAGACAGCCACCAGAATCCCTGTGCTGAGTCCCTCTCCCACACCCCAGGCACCATCTTTCTTGGGTGGAGCACTCCCCTCCTTACAGCATCAGCCTGGGGGGAATGCAACAGCCCCACCCTCTGGACTCCCTGTTACCCTACCCTGTGGAGCTTGCGCCCTGCTGCTGAGTCAGCTACCCAGACTGGAGTGTGGCTGTCTGGGCAGACTCAAGGTGTGTCGATGATTCCGTTGTGTGGTTTGGGAGTGGGGGCCATCACCCCCACAAATCCCCTGAACTTGACTGGTACCTCCTCCCCTTCACCGGAAATCTGCTAGTCTCATTCTTCAGGCTCTAAGGGCCCCACCCTCCCTACTCCTGGTGGCTCTAACCTGCTAAGATCTGGGCAGAATACAGGACTGACATTCTGGGGTGGGGGCCGCTTCCCTCACCTTCCCCCAGGCCTGACTGGCACCTCCTCCTCCTGGGAGATCCACGAGCTCCTTCCTCTGGACTTAGCACCCAGAGGGTGGCAGCTAAACTTAGTACGCCCTGGGACTTTGCGGACAGGCCTCAGACCCAGCACTGGCACCTAGTTCGGACCTGTATCAATCTGAACACCACTCACCCCTCCCTGTCACTTACTGAGAACCCACCTCATGAAACTTTGAGTGACTGAGCGTAACAGGCAGTACAAAAGATCAGTGAAACCAAGAACTAGTTCTTTGAAAATATAAATAATATCAACAGACTTTTAACCAGGCTCATCAAGAAAGAAAGAGAGAAGACCCAAATAAATAAAATCAGAAAAAAGTGACACCCAAGGAATACAAAGTACTGCAAGAAAATACTATTAACAACTATATGCCAACAAATTGGACAGTCCATTTGGACAAAATCGATAAGCTCTTAGAAACAGAATCTTCCAAGGCTGAATTTTAAAAAAAAATCTGAAGAGACCAATAATTACTAATGAACTTGAATCAGTACTCAAAAAAATTTGAACTTGCAAACACCCTGACCAGATGGCTTAACAGGTGAATTTTCCAAACATTCAAAGAAGAACTAACTAACACCTATCATTCTCAAACTATTCCCAAAAAATTAAGAGGAGGGAAGACTCCCAAGCTCATTTTACAAGGCCAGTGTTATCTTGATTTCAAAACCAGGAAAAGTCACTGCAAAGAAAGAAAATTATAGACCAATATCCCTGACAAACACAGATGCTAAAATCTTCAACAAAATATTAGCAAACTAATATATTAGCAAACTATTAGCTAAAATATTAGCAAAAATACATTAAGAAGATAATACACCATGATCAAGTGGGATTTATTCTGAGAATGTGAGGTTGGAACAATATCCACAAACCAATAAGTGTGATATACCATATAAATAAAATGAAAGATAAAATCACATGATCATATCAATGGATACCGAAAAGGCATTTGACAACATTCAGCACCCATTTATAATAAAACTCTGGGCAAAGCTGGAATAGAGGGAAATGCCTCAATGTAGTAAAGGCCACAGCCCATATCACACTCAGTGGGCAAAAGCTACAAGCATTTTCCTTAAGATCAGGAACAAGACAGGATGTCTCTTTTCACCACTTCTATTCAACATAGTATTGGAAGTCCTAGCCACAGCAATCAGACAAGAAGAAGAAATAAAAGGCATCCAAATTGGAAAGGAAGAAGAAAAACTGTCATTATTTGGAGATGGCATGATACTGTATATAGAGAACCCTTAAGGTCTCACCAAAAAAATTACTAGAACTGATAAACGAATTCAGTAAAGTAGCAGGGTACAAAATAAATATCCAGAGATCAGTTTCATGTTTTTAAAGATTTTATTTATTTATTTTTAGAGAGAGGGAATGGAAGAAGAAGAAGAGGAGAGAAACATCAATATGTGGTTGCCTCTTGTGTGCCCCAACCTGGGGATCTGGCCTGTAACCCAGGCATGTGCCCTAAATGGGAGTTGAACTGGTGACCCTTCTGTTTGCAGACCCACGTTCAATCCACTGAGCTACACCAGCCAGAGCTCAGTTACATTTTTATACACCAATAATTAACTATCAGAAAGAGAAAGTAAGAAAACAATCCCATTTATATTTGCATCAAAAAATACCTAGAAATAAATTTAATGAAGGATGTAAAAGACTTGTACTTGGAAAATTATGACACTGAAGGAAGAAATTAAAGAAGATACAAGTAAGTGAAAGCATATACCATGTTCATGGATTGAAAGAATTAACATCATTAAAATGTCCATACTAGCCCTGGCTGGATAGCTTAGTTGGTTAGAGTGTTGTCCTGATACATCAAGGTTGTAGGTTTGATTTCTGGTCAGGGCACATGCAAGAAGCAATCAATGCATTAAAAAGCAGAGCAGCAAAATTAGTGTTTTTCTCTTCTCTCCCCCTTTCTCTATCTAAAAACAATAAACATAAAATGTTAATGTCCATACTATGTGAAGAAATCCCTATCAAGATACCAAGGGTGTATTTCACAGAACTAAAAAAAATATCCCCAAAACTTATTTATTTAAAAAAGATTTTATGTATTTATTTCTAAAGATAGGGGAAGGGAGGGAGAAAGAGAGGGAGAGAAACATCAACGTGTGTTTTCCTTTTGCATGTCCCAAAATTGAGGCCTAACCCACAACCCAGGCATGTATGTGCCTTGACTAGGAGTTGAACCAGTAACCCTTTGGTTTGCAGGCTGGTACTCAATCCATTGAGCCACACCAGCCAGGGCCTCAAAAATTTATATGGAACCACAAAAAAAACCAGAATAGCCACCATAATCTCGAGATAGAAAAATAAAGTTAGAAGAACCACACTACCTAATATCAAACTATACTACAAGGCCATAGTAATCAAAATAGCATGGTACTACCATAAAAACAGACATATAGATCAGTGGAACAGTTATAGAAAGCCCAGATATAAACCCATGATTCTATGATCAATTAATATATGACAATGGAGGTAAAAACATACAATGGGGTAAAGACAGTCTATTCAATAAGTGGTGTTTAGAAAATTGGACAAATATGTGCAAAAATGAAATGAGACCACCTTCTTAACCATACACAAGAATAAACTCAAAATGGACTAAGGACTTAAATGTTAGACTCAAAACCCTGAAAATCCTAGAAGAAAACATAGGCAGAAATGTCTGAGTAAAAGCTCAGACATTTCTCATAGCAGTATTTTTTTCTGACATATCTCCTTGGGCATTTGAAACAAAAGAAAACGAAAAAAATAAATGGGACTAAAAAGTTTTTGCAAGGCAAAGGAAACCATCAAGAATATGAAAAGACAACCCACTGAATGGGAGAACATATTTGCCATGATACATCTGATAAGGGGTTCATTTTCAAGATTTATAAAGAACTTACATAACTCCACACAAAAGACAAGCAATCCAATTAAAAAATGGGCAAAGAACCTGTTAGACACTTCTCCAAAAAGAACATACAGATGGCTTATAGACATGTAAAAAGGTGCTCAAAATCACTAATCATCAGGGAAGTGCAAATTAAAACCACAGTGAGGTATCACCTCACACCTATCAGAATGGCCGTATCATCAGTAAATCCACTAATGACAAGTGCTGGCAAGGAGATGGAGAAAAGAGAACTCTCGTGCATCGTTGGTGGGAGTGCAGTCACTGTAGGAAGCAGTATGGAGTTACTTCGAACAATTAAAAATGGAACTCTCTTATGACCTAGTGATTCCACTTCTGGGAATTTATCTGAAGAAACCAACATGCTGATTCAAAAGACTATATGCACCCCTATGTTCATTGCAGTGTTATTTACAATATCCAAGATTTGGAAGCAGATCAAGTGCCCATCAGTAAATGAGTGGATAAAAAAGCTGTAGCACATGTCCACAGTGAGATACTACTCGGCTATAAAAAAGAAGGAAATCTTACCTTTTGCAACAGCAAGGATGGACCTGGAGAGTATTATGTTAAATGAAATAAGCCAATCATAGAAAGACAAATACCCTATGATTTCACTGACATGTGGAATCTAATGAACAAAATATACTAGCAAACAAAACAGAAACAGACTTGTAGATACAGAAAGCAGACTGACAGCTGTCAGTTGGGAGGGCATTGGGTGGTCCAGTGGAAAAGGTGAAGGAATTAAGCAAAAAAAGAGAAAAAAAAACCCTTATAGGCAACACTATGGTGATTACCAGAGGGAAAGAAGGTGGGTGGGGGGAGATAGAAAGGTAAAGGGGAGATGAATGGTGGTGGGAGGAGACTTGACCTGGGGCGGTGAACACACAATACAATATACAGATGATGCATTACAGAATTGTATGTCTGAAACTGATATGATTTTATTAACCAATGTCACCCCCAAGAAATTCAATTTAAAATAAAAGAACCACAGGGGAACTTAAAGTATTTCTTACATCCAAAACACCATACTACGAGGCGATGACTTTTAGAACAGCCATTTAAAATAAACCTGGAGAAAAATTATTTAGTAAAAATGTGTATTTGGCTGCCCAAACCAGCCTGGACTAAAAAGAGATTATGTGCTGGGGAAAAACACTGTTCTTACCTCCTCCAAGGCCCATAGGGAGTCCACGACGGGCTTGATCTTCTTCTGGTTGTAGAGCCCCACGAGCTTGTCCACCACTCCTCGAATGAGGCCTGCGCGGCCCTGTTTGAAGAGCAGGTTTAAAAGGGAAAAGCCTGCGATGACTTTATTTTCTTCATATAGCTTGATGGGGTTCACTTTCTCGACCTGCCACCACTGGAAAGAGAAGGAGCCGGGTTATGAGTGCTCAATGCCAGGCTGCATTCTCAGCATTATGGGGAGACACAGGGCTGCAGTCGGTGGGCCAGATTCTAACGGACCAAGAGGTAGCTCTCACCGGTGCATGTTTTCAAGCATCTGTTTGGTGAGAACATGGGAAACTACAGACAGTGACGCTTATGAGACGAGCTCAGGGTCAAAGTGGGGGAAAGAGCCCCTGACGAAACAACCACACGGCCACAGGTAGTTGGAGCGTTAAGGCATATGGTTAGAGTCATCAGCTCTGGAGCTGCACCTGGCTGTGCAACGCGCCGTGTACAGCACTTGGCTGAGTGGGTGGTGGCAGTGATGGGGCTGCTGAAGAGAGTGGGGTGGCATAGAAGTTTACAAAGTGTGTCGGGGACACTGTGGAGGTGATGGCCTTGACTGGACGTGTGGCTTTCTTGGGGGAATAACGACCGGGCTAGAGAGGTGACAAGGAATCAGATAAGGAAGAGTAAGAACGTGTAAGAGTAAAGAGTAATAGTAAGAAAGTGTAATACAGGAAGAAGGAACATCATGGTGTGGGGGCTAAGTCAGTGGTTCTCAACTGGGGACAGTTTTGCCCGTCAGGGGACATTTGGTAACGTTTAAGACATTTTAATTGTGATGACTGAAGAGGGGATCTACTGGCCTCTGCTGTGTAGATGCCAGTGCACAGGACAGTGCCTGGAACAAAGAATAATTCAGCCCAAATGTCAATAGCACTGACGCTGAGAAACTCCAGAGTCAAGTCCTTCGTGGGATACACACGACCGGCAAACACAGCTGCTTCTTTTCTAGTCTCTCACCTCCCAGTCCAACAGGGCACATGTAAATAATCCACTGAAACACTACAGGGATGGTTATCCAACTGCTTTGTTCTGATTTACTGTTTCCTGTGGCTCCGGTTTGAATTTAGAAACTCAAGTTCCAGTTTCTGGAGGGTTCTGAGAGGTGAGATGGTTCATATCAGTTTAATACTGAAGGCAAAGTGGACTGTGATGGGCACTTACAAGCATTACAACATCTGTGCTATCACTCTGCTTATTTACATCCTGCCTCTTTCCAGCATTGAAAAGTCTCAAAAAAGTAAAAGACCTGATTTGTTTTTACATTAAGAAAATCATATTGTTAGGAAAATAAGTGTGAGAAAGATAGGTTTAAATAGGGATGAGATTCATGTACAAAATTCTTTACCAGAATACATTCCCTAAGGGCCTGAGGGTCAGTTCCAGGACAGCTATGTATTTGGCCATGGGATACTTGCAGGAAAAAGCAAAAAGAAATCATCAATAACTTGATTTGCAGTGTATTTGAAATGCCTCGGTAAATATTTATTAAATGAATGCTTGCTGAATCCACAGTTGCTGCACAGTCATGGTTGAGTTCTAGAGCTGAAAACCTGGTTTGAATCCCAGCTGCCACTTACTAGCTGTGCATCCTTAAGCAAGTCACTTAACCTCTCTGTGTGCAGTTTTGTTGCTGTACTCATGGGGTCAGCCTGAGGAGTAAATGTGTTAATACATGCAAAGTGCTTGGTTCATACTAGGTGCTCTATAAATATACACTAGCTTTATTGTCATCTGATGTTGGAAGGGATGGTTTTGATTTAGTGAATAGGTGCTCTTGAGTTTGGAGTCAGGCTGCTCTCTCAACACTAACTTCACCTATTATTAGCATCATTGCTATGGTCTGAATGTGAATGACATGCTTGACAAAGAGTGTACAAGCTCTGTGGGAGTTTTAAGGTGGAATGTAATTAAGATAGCTAAGTGAGAAATTCCTGTGTGATTACAAACATGCTTTAATTTCTAAGCCTTTCTTAAATGTAAAGAAAAGCTTAGAAAATTCTTTTCTAGAACCTTCCAGAACAAAGGCATTCTTCCACTGCTTGGCATGCCCTGTCTTCAATCTGTTTCTAACTGACTAACTGATAGTGGGCCAGGCCTCTGAAAGGGAACAGCTGTTATCCTTGACCTCCAACCATAAAGTGTCCCAGTAATCGACCCCCCTCGGTTTGGGCAGGAACATTGCAACCTCCGTCCTGGCTGTGTTTTAGTGCACGCCTTCACTCAACCTGGGCACCCTGCAATCATTTCATTAAGACTGTGTGTTGTAATTGTGCATCTGGGGGAGAAAAGGAAAACATTTCTTGCAATTGCATGTAATTTGGGATGAATTCGGTTCCCCAGAGCAGGCTGTCAGCATCACGTTAATTACAGCCACAGCAACAAAGCAGCCGTGAGCGACACAGAGTCTGTCTTCAGGGGACACGCGCCAGACAGCATCCTTCATTAGACTGAATTCCTGCTCCCTGTTTACTCTGTAGTTGAGATGATTCTTGACCTGAACTTTAAAGTTCAAATGCAAACAGAGGCCCTTCAGTTCTGATTTCACAAGCCAGGAAGTATTAATCATTCCAGAATCCAATAATGTTTTGGGGCAAAGCTCTGGCAGCCACACTGACACTTAAAGAGCATATGAACACCCTGTCACCACATTTCGAATGAACCCAAACCCCTCACTGTAGCTTTACCTGACCAACTATTCAAAATGCCTCGAGCCCAACCTGCTATTTTCTATTTCAGCACTGTTTTTAGTTTCTTCAGAGCTTTTTTTATGACCATTTATAATCACGTTACTAATATGTTTTACTTATTTCAGCTGTTTCTTTCCACCAGGGACTAAGGTGCACCTATCTCACTTGCTGTGATGCTGGTGTGTGGCTCAGAGCCACAAAGAGCAGGTGCTCAAAGAGGCTTGCAAAGTAAGGGAAGCATCAGGGCTGCACTGGCGGCCTGGGAGTCTGGGAGGAGAGAAGGCAAGAGCAAGCTCTTATGAGAAGTAGCAGTCCCCCATTGTTGGGGGAAAGGCGATACAATCAAAGTTCAAGCCCAAATTCTTTAATCCCAACCAATGTAGCTCTAGGGGGGAATGTATGTCCAAGTAGATTCATAGTGGGGTGAATGTCCAGGGATGTGGGTTTTCCACTGCAGACAAAGTGACCACTGTATTCAGAGCATAATTATCTAAGAAAATGGCTCATAAAACTTGCCTGGGTCTCAAAATTACCCCAGGAGCTTGCTCAAAAGGATTCCATTCGTATCTCCAATTCAGTGTAATGAGGATTCAGAGAAATGTTGTGAACCTGGTCAGAAAGTTTATTTGCTCTCTGTGGATCAAACAAAATGTACTAATGCTCAGTTTCTTTTCAACCAATGATTAGAAATATCAGCACGTAAGCATTCTTTGTTGGAATCAAAATGAAGCTTTCTGGAGTTTCACGGACACTCCCCCTTCTCTGCCTCATTAGACAGAAGCCTCCTGAGTCACATCCTGCCCATGTGCAGTGAGCAAGGCGGGAATTCAGGCTTCACCGCAGGTGGTATGTGGCCACACCACATACCACCGCAGGCCACACCACCTCGGTACATTACACTTACATTTTATTTTATACTTACGGATTTTGCAAAGCTAAAGAAGCTCTTGGTCTCTCCAGTCACCATGTTGGATGAACCTACAAATGGAAGACCCCACATCAGGCGACTGCTAATGAAAATCAACATCTCTCTTCACACATGAAAGAATGGCCATGGTCAGGTCCAGAACTGTCAAGAGCTTGGGTTGGCCTGGGGAAGATGAGGAGAGCGGAAGGGGTGGGCGGTGTCAAGTTGGCTTAATTTTAACTAAGTTACACTGGATCAGGAAGAAAGAAACATTTCTCAAGGTGACCATTTCATTCATTACTTTGTAAAATGTGGCAAAAATGTGACCTAAGCCAACGTTCTAATACAATGATGAGTGCTGAAATGTCCTGTCAGTTCCATTCTTTGAGACTGAGAAACGAACTCCTGTGTGAGCCTCCTTTATGGCTTGAATTTGGTTCCTTGGCAAGTGAGGGGCCTGGGGCTTTGACCTGGGTGGGGCACGTAAGTGGTTAAGAAGAGACTGGGAGGACCTAGAATTTAGGTGTACGGAAAAATGGCACACAGAGGAGCGGATGAGAGTGAAACAGGTTCAGAAGCCACGGAAATGGTGTGGCCGTTGCCTTAGCTCCAAAGAGGTCTGGGCAGAAAGGTAAAAAGCACTGGAGAGGAATGATAGGAGAAACAGAGCTTTGCTAATTGGAATAAGCACACAATTAGAAGGAAGATGGGCAGCAAAGTCAGGGAAGATTCCCTAAGATGCTCTTATAGGGAGAAAAGACCCCTGTGGGGTTTCCAGAGGGGCTGAATGAGAGCTCTTAACAGTTCGGGTACCATATTGGGGCCTTTTCAAGGAGTTTCCTTCCTTGTCCCCATAGAACTGGGAGTAAGTCCTCAGGGAACTGTCATTTAATGAAAACACAATGTGTATTTTTAAACTTAATTTTTTTGCCTGAGTAAACTAGCAGCCAGTTAATCACTGCTTCTAATATTATGTGGTGACTACCACCAAGAGTCATGGTGCTGGGCTTTGACTACTTAGTAACCAAGTGATCAACATAATGAACTAGACACTTGTGATACCATCAAGTTGTATCCCACCAACATGACACACAACTGGGGCAAAAATAGAATTGGTAAACAAGTAAAAAATGAATAAATTATCCATCTGCACTTGCCTCATCTGTTAGCCATATTCAATACCCCTACATTGTGCATTGACACTCAGAGCCTCTCTTATCAATAGTAATAACTAAAGATTGCGCATCCACCTCCAAAGACTTTCAGATATGTGGCTGCTATTGAAAAAACCAAAATGCCCCAGCACTGGAATGCTTATTCCCTCTCTTTCTTTCATAATGATCTGATGATAACAAAAAGATGCTTGAATATTTATGCCTCGGAAATACCACTTTTATAAGCTTTGTAGCTAATAGCAAAAAAATAAGTATTTTTTTCCTGAGTCATACAGAGATAAAGCTCAATTTTCTATTGTACATACAGGGCACAGAGGCACCAAAATTATCACATGTCGAATTACCCAATATCATTCGGCTTTGGAATGTGACATCTGGCCTCAGATACGCCTTTTTGACTTTGTGGAGACTAATGTTTAAGTTACTTTGCATGCCCATGAAAGAAGATGAGAAGGTTGGGGGCTCTGGTGTCTCATTCTGATTGAGAAAACCTGCTCCCAGATGTCTTTTGTGCAACTTCAGAAACCCAAGACACAGAAGCAGGTCTGTGCTCCATCTACCAGGGCTCTGTCTTCATTGGGACACACAGGGACAATTCAGAGGAAGGAGAGCCTGCTCTTTGTGATCTTACCTCCAAAACTGAAGAACCTCCTTAACACCCCCCATATTCCACCACTGCTCCCCATCCTACTGTGGGTCTTCATTCCCTCGTTTCCTACCTGTGCCACTTTCTGAGTGGAGTCCCACCTCAGTGCCTACATTGGCTGGGTGGGGCTCGATTCCCTCTTGGAATAAGAAGTACTCATAGGAGTACCCAGGCAGTAAGCACATGTTACTTTTACCATTAAAAACAACCAATGGCAACAGCAACGTTTTAGAAAACATTGGAAAAGCAAACAGTGCAACCTCATTGCGCTAGTATGGAAACACATTTCATTTTTCAGGGCCTCTGTCTGAAGCACAGGTGCAGTGCTCCCCATCACTGACTGTACCCCGACTCCTGTTGAGCACTCACCGTACAAAATGTAGGTTCCCAGTGGTTTGAGGAGGCTGAGACCTTTCCCAGTGTTGTCCCCACAGAGGCAATCCAAAACAATGTCCACTCCTTCAGCAGAGATTCTAAATGGTGAGAAGACAGAGGACAATACTGTGACCTATCGGGGACCAAACTGTCCATCCCTTTCCCTTCCTGTGTCAGACCATTTACCCCCAGAGTCAGGAAGAGAGAGAGCTCCTGAGAGTAGCAGTAAATAGGGCAGAAGCCCTGAAGGTAGGTTTGTCCTCATGGGTCCAACCCTAGGAATTTTAGAAAGCTGGAGGCAGGTAAGAATCTGGCTGGGGCCAATACTGGGAACCAGCTTGGGCTAGGAGAATGAGCACGAATGCCACAGTCAGACTGTCTTGAGTCTGTAGCTAGCTGCCTCACTCAGCCTTTCTGCATCTGAGCTTTCTCATTTGTAGAGTGGAGCTGGCATGTTTCTTTGTGCTAAATGTGAAATGAGGTGACTGATGAAATGCTTGGCCCATTGCCAGGCACATAGCAATCACCCCATAAATCAGCCGGTCTACAATTCACATTGGTGGAGCTGGAATTATGTTCCAGGCACTGTCCGAGGTGCTGGAGACAGAGTGGTGACTTTTCCCTGTCTTCACGGGGCTTCTGGTCTCAGGGGCATTGGCTTTCTTCCCTCTCCACCTGCCTCTTCAGTGAAGCTATAAAACCACATTAATTTAATTTGCAAACTTCTGTTTGTCCACTCTCCATGGTCGATCTGAAACATAGTCTTAGAGGAAGGGGGTTAAATAGAGAATCTTCCCACAGCAATGGAAGGTTCCACACTAAAGACAACCACGTTTGTACGCCATTAGGCAGCACTCGATATTAGGAAGAAGATTACTTCTTCCATTCATTTATTTATATAGTCACTGATTCAGTCATTCACTCATGCATTTAAGGAACATCTACTGGGTCTTCCACTGTTAGATGATATTATGCAGGAGGGGGCTCTGAAGATTGCAGGGAAGATACTTATGCCCACAGTTACCAATTGTGGCTGGGCCTAGTTCAGTAAGGAATGCATTTCCTCAGATTTGTGAGTTTGCAGGATTATCTTGTTTTAGCACATAGATCAGTTTTTCTGCCCACACCTTCCTCCCCCACCCAGATTTAGGTACTGCAGCACACATCAACAGCTGTGTCCATAATGTCGCTAAGTGGGAAGTTTCATGTACATCTCCCATGCTCTGACACCAGTTGGACAGCTGAGTCTTGAGGTGAATATGCCCTTCAAAACCCTCAAGTCTAAAATCCATTGCAAAGGCTCATTCCAAATGATCAGTTTTGCTTCCATCTAATAGCACTCTTATCTATACAGGTGTGTCCTTTCAAGTCCAGCCTGTAAGTTCAGAACTAGGGAATTAGGCCAGTGGAAGGCAAACCTAAGTGTGCAAAGCAATCTCCCAAAGATTGTAACTTGCCCACCCTCCTCCTCTCTTCTAGCTTCAGCTGGTCTGGAGTGGGGCCCAGGAATTTTTATCTCTACCAAGTTCCTAAGAGATGCCGATACTGCTGATTCTTCCACCACACTTTGAGAACTTATGGTCTATGCCAGTTACCCAAGAGCCAAGCCAAGAATTTTTAAACTAGTAATTAATATATGTTCATTAAATATTTAGCACTGACACTGCATTAGGCACTGGGGGATATAGTGGTGGGCCCAAACAGATTTCATTTCTTTCCTTTTGGAGCTTATATTAGGCAGACATTAACCAATGGTTACACAAATAAAAGTTAAATTGAAACTGAATTGGTCTAGTGTCACAAAGGTATTATGAGACTATTTAAACTGAGATTTGGCTCAACCAGGATTGCCAGAGAAGATATCTCTATGGAAGTGATGAGTGGAGGGTGAAGGGGTTAGCTGGGTAAATAGTGCTGGGAATAGTTTTCCAGGCAGAATAGTGTTCCGTGTGCAAAACCCCACAGTGGGAGGAGCCTGGTGAGCAGGAAGTCTGGGAAGCATCGAGTAGTGAGGGCTGCAGTAGAGGAAAGGATTGCAGGAGAGGGTTGCTATAAGGTGCAGCTGGACAGATGGGAGGGCATTGAAACACACAGACTGTTGGCGGGCCCTGAGCCAGTGCCTCACACCTGGTGATTAGCTCTCCACCTGACATCATGGCATGAGTAACTATGCTCCTGTCTTCCTCACTTCTACTAGGCCCATTTTTTTTTTGCCCAGTTTGTTCATACCTCTGGAAGTGGGGCACTGGTCTGCTTCTACTAGCTGGTCCTCCTGGGCCATCAAGTCCTCCCTGTGAACTGCACTCTACCATCACCAGTCTGTTTGCCTGCAGAATGGCTGTGCTCAGGAGCAGCATCCCACATGCTAGGCTGTGCACACCTTCCAGGGCACTCCTGGTGGACCTGCCCAGCTCTGAATCCTCACATCTTGCCTAATGCTTCTCACATCTATACTGTACTTGTGGGTCCACATGTTCTCCTACAACCTGCCAGTCAAACTTTCTTGGGTTAGCTGCCCCACCTGGACCTATAGCTCTATCCTCTGGACTCTGGTTCTACAGACATAGAGGTCAGGCCCACGGTCAGGGGTGACGTATAAGCCCTTGCCCACTTCCCCATCCTTACTTCCCACTAATTTTTCAAGGCCTCCAAACCATCTGGCTATCCCTAAAATGCCTGCCTCAGGGCCTTTGCATGTGCTATAATCTTTGCCTCAGCACCCTTTCCCCAGCTCTCTTTAGAACTGGCTCCCTCTCATTCTGCAGGCTTCATTTGCATGTGACCTCCCCAGAGAAGCTATAACTAATCACCCCACCCAAAGTGACAGCTTCCACCCCCCAAATGATCTCTATTTCACCTCCATACATGCTTTAGTGTCTACACCAGGGATACTTTTTAATATCTATCACAGGCTGTAATTACTTTTTCGTTTTCCTACTCACTGACTACCTCTTTCATCAGTATGAAAGCCCCATGACACAGGGGCCATGTTCGTGCTGCTAATAGTTGTACCCTCGATCTTTTTCATGTTGAACAAAGCACTGGTTCTCAGGAAATATCAATCAGTTATACGAATGAATAATTAAATGGAAAAATAAACAGATAAATGAAAGGAATGAAGAAAACATTTTAGACTGGTATTCTATATCTCTCTACTTATGCTTCTTTCAAAGACACACATTTTCTGAGTTCTGTACCCAGGCACATCACAACTGATCTTCACGACCAGTCTCTGAGGCAGGCATTTGGACTCCACTGTTGTAATGAAGAGATCAAGGCTCCTGGAGGCAATGCCTCGCCCAAGCTGATGTCAGCAGCACAGCTGGAATTTAAATGTCAGTCTGGTTTAAGGGCAAAGCTGATGGCCTTTTCACCACGCTGAATTTAAGGCTTAATAAATGTTCAACCGAGTATAATTATGGAAGCACTGCTCTAGCAAAGCATCCCTGGGGACACAGTCAATTTAATTTAGTTTTTGAAGAATTCAGGCTTAAAACTTTGTCTTTTAAAATAAATATACATATATCAAGAGGTAAGCCATGCTTTTCCACACAGGTATGCTAAGAGGTTTCTATTTGCAAGCTGCTCTTTTCATCCCAGATTATGGCAGACACCCAAGGTCAGGGTCTGACACACTCGCCCAAATCTCCAGCCACTGGACAACTGTTCCCTGAGTGCTTACTTCATGCCAGGCTGTGCATGCCAAGCAAGGAATACACAGATGAAGGATCAAGTTTATCCCTGCTGTCCAGGAGCTCACGGGTCACTAGGAGTTAGATTACAGATGGACAGGCCAAACACAGAGTAATCACAGCCCCAACAAAGCAACGCAGGGGGCTGTGGAAGACAGTTAGTTCCTGATGAGGACAGATGGATGAGCAGGAATTGGTCAGGTGATCACGGGCAGGCATTTCAGGGACCAGCCTGCAATAGCCTGGCTTTGGGCAGTCAGCACAGGGTAGGCCCAAGGAGGCTTTGGGAGACCAGCCAGCCATGGTAATAAGCGTCCCTGGCCACTGTCTTCTTCCAGAAGGTCCCAACTGACAACTAATATGGGAGTAGTGAACAGTGGTGGGGGGGTGGCAGCAGCATAGGACTGGGCTTAGGAATATGGATTTCATCTCAGGGTTAAGCGTTTAGTTCTGCCCCTTACTTGCTGTGTGACCTCAGGCGAGTTAAACAGTCTCTTGACAGCTCCATTTCCCCAACTGTAGCAGGAGATGGTGGTGATAACACCTACCCCTGGCTTCCTTGTGAAGCTTGAAGGAGTCGATGCATGTGGAGGGAGCACAGGACATGGTTGCTCTGGACCCATGGTAGCTTTTAGTACCATTTTTCAGAATGATCTGATTTAAAGAGAGTTCTTTTGGTTTGGTAAAAGACCATGAACAAAGTCTGTGCAAAACATGAACAACCCAACCATCCACCCAAGTGTCCTTCAGGCTGGGTAAAGCCATCAGCCAAGAAACCATTAGGACACAGGCTCGATGCCCTTGACCCTCCTAGGAGAGCATGCCCCATGTCTAGGAGCACCTACTACGTACCAAGCACAGTGCATTTCATACATCTCATCTCTGACACATGATGCAGCCCTGAGACCTGGGGGCCATCATCTCCATTTGATAGGTGAGGAAACAGGGACACAGTGGGTTCAGGTGACTTACCCCAAGGCCAGTGCAGGCAATAGGAGGACAGTGGTTTGACCCATTGCATCTAGATACCAGGGGAGGGCACATAGGTGGGGTAGGGTTTTCCAGTGTGCTCTGTGGCCAGCCCCAGGGTGACCACCACTGGCACTTCTAGGCCACGCGGTCTCCCAGCATAGACTGAGCAAAGCAGGGGCTGTTCCAGGCTTCTGCTGGAAGCAGCCGCTGCAGGTCTCCTGTGTGTTCAGGCCACCTGCTCCTCCCCACGCCTCTCCCGGCATTTCTGTAGTTGAATTGGGTAAAACAGAGTTTGCATGTGCACAGGGTCAAATATGCCCCCAATTCATCACTCCCTGCTGTCATTGCATCCTTCTGAAGGTCACTGGTGTGGTGGGGGTGAGATGAATTCTCAGGAAGAGAAGCTGGGTAGAGGCAGACGTTGGTCCCTGGGCCCCAAGGGAGAAGATGCTTTGGCCATTTCTGTCAGACCTTTAATCAGACATGGCTCCTTTTGAGGCTAGTGCTGTTTCTTCAGGGGAGAATTTCAAACTGAAAAGAGCTCCACCCCTCATTCATTCATTACAAGCCCAATCCATCAACCAAACTGGACCCAGCAGGGTCTGTTTAAAATGCTGCGGGCCACACAGTGGCCTGGGGGCAGGTCCTCCTTCAGTCATTGAAAAGTACCCTAGCAGCTCCTTTTAATGGAATAATTTGATGGAATAATTGTGAGAAGCCCAGCTTCTGAGGCACAGCGACAGCCTCATTTCTTAGGCTCCCCGGTTCTGGGGTGTTTGCCTTGCCTACACACACATAACCACAATGACATAAATGTGGTGAGGCTGAGGGCCGAGCCACAGGCCATGGCTGCTGTGTCTGCTTTCTCCTGCAGTCACAAATCTCTCCAGATCTGAAACACGAGTAGCCCTGGCTCGGGTTCTCCGGGCCAGATTCAGCAGAGAGGTATTTTGGAGCTGCTGATCCAAGATTTTTGTGTCTGCCCTTCCTTGGTCCCCAGCTCCTCACCCCTTTATTGGGAGTGCCACCTCTGCTTCCCAGCCACATGGATCACTGAAGAATTTCTCTTGAGTGGTGGCAGCTCCCATAGAGCCAGTGCTGGGGGAGAAACCCTTCTACTTTGTCAAGAAATTAACTCTGCTTTACTGCCGCCTTCATTTCCAGGTGGGCCCGTGGCTCCCCACTCAGTTGACTCTGAATTCCCTTCCTGTGAGAACACACCCGTGCGGAGTGTTAGCCATCGCCTCCACACCCGTGATGGAGGCGTGCCTGGCACAGCGCCTAGCACACAGTAGGCCTCTCACAGACAATTAACACAGCGTCCAGTGCCCAGAGGGCCGAGCCCAGCACCCAGTGCACAATGGGCTCTGCACAGGGTGCCGGGCACAGACAGTGTCCAGTGCATGTTATGCTTCTCAGTAAGTGTTTACTACAAACGGCCCCCACGTGTACTCAGCAGTACCCCCGCTCTATGAGTCCTTTCTTGATCACTTTCTCTTCTGTCCAGGTGATTAGACTCTCATTAATTTCCATTGGGGCCCCGTTCCATCATGTGTAAATGAGGGGTTTTCACCTTGCAGGACTGTCTGATGTACACGTAAAATGGCCTAACCGCGGTGCTCAGCAGGGTGAGAGGAGACCGACAAAGCCTGGTGTTATTATCGCCTTGCCCTGGGCTCACTTGCCTTGCCTGAGACTCCCTCCCCGCCTCCCTCCACCTGCTGAAATTGTTCCCATCCTTCACACACCCCCTTGGGGGCTGTCTACCCCGGCGCTCTGTCTGGTTTTCCTCTCCTCTTCATCTTTATGGCCCTTACAGTCAGATGCAAACAATTCAAGGCTTCTAACTCTTGTACTTGGTTTCAAGCAGAGCCATCTCTCTCCTCCCAAACTGAGCAGGAGAAAGTGATGTGAAGGGTAGGTCCGTATTATAAATATTTCCCCCATTCCCTCTACAATGCCTGGCTCAAAGCTGAGAATGTGTTCAAAAGAAGCTCACCAATTGACTGCTTTATAAAAGAGTTCTCCTCTCAAAGAATTTTTATGTTATTGTTTTTCTAGTTTATCAGACACATAATTATGTAGCAAACAATATCCGAGATCAAAAAAATGAAATGAAATCATTCTGCATTCCCCTCCCATTGCATGTTAGCAGTTGAATTTTCCCCTTTCCTTTCATTTTATGTCCTTATGACTCAAGAATTTATACAAAGCTGTGATCACAGTGTAGATGAAATTTGGCACTCTGCTTTTTTCACTCAATATGCTACCAAGGGTATTTTTTCATTCTGTGACAGAGTCTTCATAATTATCTTTTCTTTAGGGGCTGCATAATACTCAAGTGTGTGGGTGTAGCATAATCTGCTGAACTATTTTCCTTCTGCTGATAATGGAGGCTGCTTCTGCATTGCACTGGTACAGGCAATGCCATCATTCACCCAGCCGACGTATGCTGCACACCTACAATCGATCAGAAGCGGTGCTTTCTCTGCAGAAGGCAACTGTGGGACTGTTGCTTTCTTCTTCTTTTGGGTTATTTCCTGAGGATAGGGTTAGTGGGATAGAGGGCATAAACCTATCTGCAGCTTCCCAGTCATCTTTAGTCTAATTCCAGTGTCTCTACTTAAAAACATAAGGAATTGTTGGAAATCACACTTGAAAGAAGGTGGCGGTGAGGTGGGTCTCAGGCGTGGTTGCCTTCTGCTCTTCTGATGTCTTAGAACTAACTGACACTGGGGCTGACGGCAGCAGGTCCAAGATAGAGAGAGGCAAGGGGATGAGCAGCTACACGGGAAATGCAGATGACAGGAACTCCCCGGTTATAGACCGCCCACCATATCTTCAGAAGGGCCTCTTCTCTCGCTACTTTCCACATCCTACCACCTCCAGCTGCACGGGTCTCCTTTCAGATCCTCGAATTTCCCAAGCCCTTCCTGATGCTGGGCCCTCACACATGCCACTCTCCCCGGTCAGAAACGCTCTTCCTTTGGCCAAATTCTCATCCTTCAATTCCAACCCAATCCCACTCTCCGACGGACACTGTGTCTGATTCCCCATCTGCATGTGTTTACTAGCACCTTGTAGGTCTCCACCAGGGCACATGTGGAAATTGGAAATCCATGAATTTAAAAAAGAACTTTGTCCCCTCTTTCCCACTTACACTCAAACTCCATGCAGATGGTGACTCTCAAGGTGGTCTGGCTGCATCTCCTGCCCCCACATATATTCACTATCTGTTAAAGGGGCCGGTACAGGAGTAAAGGAAGGGATGGATGCACACGGAAATGTCACTGAGAGGGTGAAAGAAAAGCTTGCTGAAGGGACGGTGTAGTTCACTCTCCAGACCACAGCTTGGTAGATGCTCATTAAAAGAAGGAAGAACCACCTAAGGGTTATGAAAATAGGCAAAGACCAATCCTGGAAGACTTTGAAATATGCCTGCCATCTCTAGACGTCTGAGAACCAGGGGGCAACTTCTGCTATCCAGCTGTAAAGCTCTCCTTTCCTGCACTCCTGGAAAAAGGGGACAATGCGAAATGATATGCAAATCTCTTGGTTCAAAATCTAAAAACAAAGCTGAACATTTAGTCTATCAGAAGACTCTCTTTTCCAAGAAGTTTTCACTTAATCTGGTCTAACTCTATCGCTTCACACAACCAGCTCTGCCATTCCCCCACTGCTTCGATCTTCCACATTAAGGGGTGGCTGCAGAAAATCCTGATGCTATCATTACGATGCTGGACAACTTAATTCCTTTTACCTTACAGTTTAGTGCTGACTAATGAAAACACAGAAACGCTGGCTCTGGGACATCCCTGAGTCCCCTCTGCAGCTGTGAGTGGAACAGAACCTGAGAACCAGCCATGAACTCTGAGCAGCAGGAGCGGGGAGACACACAAATCATCTGAGAACATGGTGGCAGCTGGGTTGCCCCCCGATTCTCTGTGTTGGCATGCACAGGGCTGTGATCAATAGCTCCAGGGTCACAGGTGGCAATGGATCAGGTTAAATGACTGCGACAGCCAGCAGACTGATCTCTCTGCCTCCAGCCTCCCTGCTCCCATCCCTTCTCTGCACACCACCAGTGACTGTTCAAACCCAAATCTTATCATGTCGCCACCTCAGTCATTCGCTGGTTCTCACTCCTCCCCACATTGAAGTCCACGTTTCCTTAGGCTGTTGTGTGAATGAATGAGAAATAACCTTCTTTGTGCTAAGGCAGTGTTATAGCAGCCAGCGTGACAGTTTTGTAAGCTACTCAACTGCCCTATTCCTGGGTTTTATCCTCTGCAAAAGAGGGATAATAATGGAGTCTTTGAGGGGATTAAATGAGCAAATACAGGTGAAGTATTGAGCACGGAGCTAGTCATATTAACCCCCAAATATGTAGTTACTATTATTACTGTTATTAGTATATTAGTCCCTCATCCAAATGAGTGCATCTCTTCTTTCAGGGAGAGAAGAGCAAGGGCCAGCCTGGTGCTCTTTTGAGCAAACACTTACCTTTTCACTTCTTGCACATAGTCTGCATTTCGGTCAAAGAGGTGGGTCAGAGAGTCTTTGATGGCTTCATGCTTGAAAGTAGAAGCTGTTCCAAAGACCGTCACATTGGGGATGGTGGAACACAGCTGAGCCACAGCCTGGCCCTAGAAGTGAAATACAACAGACAAGTCACACAGAGAACCACCATCCAGCAACCAGCCTTGCCGGTGTAGAGCGGGATTTCTCAACCTTGCCACTAGTGGCCATTTTTAGGTTGAATTAGTCTTGACTGTAGGGGGAGCTAAACTGAGCATCATGGGATGTTTAGCAGCCTCCCTGGTCTCCATCTCCTAGGAGCCAGAAGCACTCCCTGTTGGGACAACCAAAACTGTATGTAGACATGTTAAACGTCCCCTGGGGGACACAATCTCCCTTGACTGAGAAGCACCAATTTACAGGAATGTTGGTGCGAGCCAGCAAAGTCCCAGCACCAAAACTTAACAGCCTTCATTTAACATACTGAGCCTCAGATTCCTCTCTACAAGCTAGCAACAATGGGACCTGCTCCACAGGGATCTTGGGGGATGTCTTACTCTAGTTTGGATTGCCCAGAAACAGACCCTGAGGCAAAGATGCCAGTGTTAGCACTCCATCAGGAGAACGACTGCAGGAAATACCAGGGTGTCAAGAGAGTAATAGAAGGCAGCCAGTAAAAGGTAGATTATCAAGCTTGTATCTGCCATGGGCAACACACGAACCTCTGAAGAACTCTATGAGCAAGTGTAGAATTTATGTCAGATATATTATCCCAACCAAGTGGTGAGGAAGCTAGAATATTTATCTACCAAATTTCCACCTGATACCGGCTGAGGGTTGTTCTGTAGCAGTAACGCTCATACAGGTCTGGCTTGTCCTCTTGGACAGCCGGACAGAAGCCCTAAGCAAGCCTCCTTTGGCAAGTTGAATTGAGTGCAGGGACCACACGATGTGGCTGATGGCATCCGCTAGGAGGGTGTTAAACGAGGCAACATGTGACACAGCTCAAGCACCTGGCACAAAACAGGGCACTTAACAACCACACAATAAGTCTTAATCATCTGTACCAGTCAGTGGCTTATTTATATTATACCCAGGGCTGCGATATCCAGGCATATAAAGAAAAGGCCAGTGGATGAGGTTTAAATATTAAATGATCCAGAAGAAATCACAAATGCATTTAGAAATGGGTGATTTTTTTCCATGTCCTTTTCAGTATGGTCAGAAATTGAAGCCGTTGGACAGAATACTGTGAGCATGTGCATTCAGAAACCTTCTTCCCAAACCCCTGAATTTCTGGTAAAGATGCATTATGAAACCAAGTACTGTCGCTCTCCAGTGTCATCTGCCATATAAATAACAATTTATGCCTCCTAACAAGGAGGGAACTTATTCTACCAAAGTTATCTGTGGTATTTAATGCTGCCCATCACTTTTTTTACATGTCTTCTTCATATTGGTGGACTAAATTAGGTTGGCAGGTCGATTTGTAAAAATGTAATTCTTCCGACATTTACAATCAGAGGCAACACTGAGAGAATCAGAAACACCAGACCTGGAAGATCGCCCCATTCCCCCTTCCCACTGTTGTTTTATGGGTGAGGAGAAGGGGCTCAGGAAGGTTAGGGTGGCCCAGTTCTTCAGAGGCAGGTGTGAGATTTGAAGCAAGGGTTCCTGATTTTCAGTCATTGCCATTTTCTGTTGTGACATTTACTGAAGCAGACTTTTAAGTTGCAACCTAAAATAGACACAGTACTGACACGCTCACTCGGAGGTCAACATTTCAGAACGTGGGTGTGAACCTAAGACTCCAGACAGGCTACATAGTTCTCTGTTCTAAGAATACGTTTGATACTTGGTTAAGTTTTTTATCCCCTGACTCTAGAGAACAAAGAGGGGCTATCCTCACTAGTGAGTGTAAATATCAGCAATTAACAAAGCAATCCTCTCAAATTTAGCAGGGCTTGAGGTAATCTTGTTAGTGCTGGATAGGAAATTAGAACAAGTTCCACTATCTGTGAGGTCCCTCCTGTCCTCTGTCCTCAAGCAAACACGACATTTCCCTACTCAGCTGCTTTTCAGATTCCCATTATGCACCAGTCACATTGTGCTGTAGAAACTGGAGCGTCAGAAAGGACTGGCACACCTTAATCTCCACCTCTAGTCCCAAGCCCCTAACCGAGTCTCAGACTTGCATATTGAACCACCATTTCAGCACCTAACTCTACCTGGCTGTTCAAAATTAGCACATCAGACTCAACTGATCTAAAATGGAACCAGGGCCATCTCCAAATGAGTTACTCCTTGTATTAGTTTGTTAAGACTGTTGTAACCAAGTTCCACAAACTGGGTGGATTACACAGCAGACATTATTGTTTCACAGTTCTGGAGGCTAGAAGTCTGAAATCCAGGTTGTTGGCAGGGCTGGTAACTTTTAACATCTGAGGAAAAGGTCCAATCCCGGCCTCACTCCTTGGCTTGTAGATGGCCATCTTCTCCTTGTGTCCTCACATGGTGTTTGTTCTGTGAGTGTCTGTGTCTTAAGTTCTCCTTCTTATAAGGAGACTCATCATTTTGGATTAGAGCTCACCCTAATGACCTCATTTTCATCATATGAATTTTGGGGAGACATGATTCAACCCGTAATAGACTTCTTACAGCATTTCCTGCCTCAGTGGGTGAATTGCACCATTTACCCATCGCTGTGGGTAGGAATCTGGGGTTACACTGGATTCTCTTCTGCCCTCACCCTCACATCCAGTTGGTCAGCAAGTGTGTGGTTTCCACTCAACCTGTCTTATGACTGTCACTTTTTAGTGCCACCGTTCCTCCCCCGGATGATGACAACACTCTTCTAACTGGCCCGGCTGTTGCCATGTGCACCTCACACTGTGGATGGAGTGATTTTTCCCAAACACAACACCGAGCACTTCACTGCTTATTTCAAAGCCTCCCAGTACTTACGGCTTTCAGAATGGAATGCACGCCCTTTGCTTTATCGCACAAGGCCAGCCCTCGCAGATCTGACCCACTCTACCCATTGACCTGACTTCCCTCCACTTTGCAATAGCCACTCCCTAACAACACACAGAACTTGAGCCATCACTGGTTGACACATTCCATGAGCCCTGTCCTGTGCAGCCCTCATCCCCTGGCACTGTCAGGATGAGTCTTATCCTACTGAAGAAGAAGCTGAGGTTCACAGAGGTTAAGTATCTGGTCCAAGGCCACTAGGGTAAGATGTGGCAACCTTGGCATCTGAACTCACCAGCAGAGCAACCTTGAGTAACGTAGTTCCTCTAGTCCCTCATCTTAATATGTGGATCATAATAATACATATACTCTAAGACTGTTCTAGGATTATATGACATAATACATCCAAGAGTTCAGAGCAGTGAATGGCAATAAACATTTGCTATCACTACTAGTATGACTACAATTACTGTTTTCCTTGGTGTTTTTCTTATACCAGTGGTAGAAGCATATCCACTATCACCGTCATCACCTCAGTCTGTCATACTAATGTAGCATCAGTGTTAGTTTTCTCACATACTGTCCGCAACCAGTGGTGCCTGTCCATCTACCTCTTCAGATCATAGCCACTCCCCCCTGATGCGTCTTGTCTACAAAGCCTTCCCAGTGTCCCAGGCAGAGTCTCTGGCTTCTCTTAGTGCCACCATAGACCTGTGGTGCTTTCCTGCAGGATAAGGGCCCCCACAGCCTTCTGTGGCTGCTAACGGACCCCTCCATGAGCTCCATGAGGTTTGGCTCTGCACCCCAGGGCTCAGGGCAGAGCCTGGCACATAGCAGGTGTTTGCTAAAACTTGGTGAAGTGATGCAGGAGAAACTAGAGGAGTTTCATGTAAAGGAAAAGCACCCTAATTGTTTTGCAGATTTCTATGTCCTTTGCACAGTGGGAATAAAGCATGGATTTAATTAACATATTTAGTCTCTGACCCATGCAGAACTTTACTGTTTCCATTTTAATGAGCAAGATGCATAGATATTAGATGTGTAGTATGCAATACACTGATATATAAATACTCTGTAATACGATTAGAATAACATGTAATTAGCACTATATGTATAAATGTATATATAATTACTATCTAGCACATAATATTCCATTTATAATATAGAGTTACAGTAGTATAATAATACACTACACTCCTCCCCCATTCGCACTTCACTTTCCTCAGTTACCTGAGGTCAACCACAGTTCGAAGATGTTAAATTGAAAACTCCAGAAATAAACAACGTATAAACTTTCAATTGGGCGCTGCGCTGAGCAGCCTGCTGAGATCTCCCGCCATCCCAGGCCGTCCTGCCCGGGGATGAAAACCACCCCGTCCAGCACATCCCTGCTGTGCGCACCAGCACATCCCTGCTGTGCGCACCACCGCCCTGCTAGCCACTGCCTTGCCGGCTCAGTCACCAGACAGACTGCTGTGGCAGCACAGCGTTTGTGTTCAAGTCCCTTCTGTGTACTGTGGTCATTGTTCTATTTTATTATTACTCGCTGCTGCAAAGCTCTGAGCTGTGTGTACTTTACATGTTAAACTTTATCACAGGTATGTATGTGTAAGGGAAAATGCAGCGCAGTGGGGTTCAGTACTACCTACAGTTCCAGGCACCCACTGGGGGTCTTGGAATGGGTCCCTTGTGAATAAGGGAAGGACCATTGTAATATAATAATTAATATGATGATTACATATGCATGCATAGCATGTAATTAGTATAACATATCAGTATTAAATATTGTATCATCATTTATATTATATAAATAACAATGGGTAGAACACAAACCCAGTGCCCATCTATTTCCAGAGCCTCCATACCTTTCAGCTCTGAATTAATTTGATCAGGCAACGAGAGGCCTTTGCAAGATCCTCCATGGTTTTCTAAAGTAAATAATGCTCAGCCTCCCGTGTTTAAGCAGCCAAGTGCGTTCCCTCACATTTACAGGAAATCTGTACTCTCCCTTCTGCAGCTCCCGCGGCGAGTGCAGGACCAGCACCTAATTTATCCTCGTTTCTCCCACATGCCTAGCAAATAGCACGGACTCAATAAACATTTGTAGAAGACAGAATGACTTTTCAATAAAAAGGATTTTGCAATTTACCTGCAG